CCTTTGTCCCTGCAGAGGAATCTGGGAGCCAGAGAAGCAGGTTGTAGCTTCAGAACACCCACGTCCCCTCTCCCCTCAGTCTGGAGAAGGCAGGTGGCCTGAGCCGCTCCTGTAGCTGCCTCACCGGCTTCACAAAGTTTGCTCTAAATTCCCAAGGAATTGGGGTGAAACTTAGGTGACAACATAGGCTGGCCTTTCAGTCCAGCTAGTCGTCCCTGATCATCTCTGTCCCTGAAAGGTTAACGGTCAGTGATGCTCAGGCAGGCTAAATAGCCATCTCAGGGGGGCGAATGAAGAAAAATAGCCCTGGCTGGTTTTCTCAGTGGTTAGAGCATCAGCCCTTGAAATGAAGGGTCCCAGGTTCAATTCCACCCAAGGGCACCTACCTCGGGTGCAGGCTCGATCCCTGGCCCCAGTCAGGGCTTACACAGGAGGCAACCAGTCAGTGTCTCTCTCACATCGATGTTTCTTTCTCTCTCCCACTTCCACTCTCTCTGAAAAGCAGTGGAAAAAATATCCTTGGGTGAGGATTTTAAAAAAAAAGAAAGAAGAAAAATTAAATTTATTAAAAGGGAATGGGGCCCAGCCCATGTAGCTCAGCAGTTGAGCACTGACCTAGGACCCAGGAAATGGCCAGCAGGGCACATGACCGGGTTGCAGACTCGATCCCCAGTCGGGTCTGCAGGAGGCAGCTGATCAATGACTCTCATCACTGATGTTTCTCTCTCTCTTTCCCTCTCCTGCCCTCTCTCTGAAATCAATAAAGATATATTTTTAAAAAATAAAAGGGGGATAGGATCTCCAAAGGGAAGGGATACCCAGCACTGAGCCTAAGGGTACTGGGTCCATGATGGAAGCAAAAATATAATTGGACAGTGAGACAAGGAGGAGCATAGCAGAGGCAACAGGAGAGCCCAGGCTAGGCTGCTCTGGCTCACTGAGACGTCAGAGAGAAGGGGGCCTTGGGGACAGGTTCAGGGGGTCCAGCCCGGGACGAGCTGGCACTGGTGTGCTCCCCTGGTGGAGTGATCACCTGTCCTGATCTCTGGACACACCCATTCACAATCACTGAGGATCCACCTGGGTATCCAGAGTTCTCTCGTGGCCTTGGGTGGCCTCAGACTCGAGCAAGGAGACGGCCTGCCTGCTGGCAGCAGTCACGTGGCCCTTTGTTTTAGGTACATGCCTTTTGTCTCTTTAACTTTTCATTCCTCTTTTGCAACAAATCTTTCAGCGAAGCTACTTAACTTTTTTTTTTTCAACTCTCGAATTCCTAACTGTGGCCTCCATAGGACTTTGTCCACAGGTTTTGGTTTTACAGTTCTGGGTCGGAACATTGCTCCCAGCCAGAGTCTGTTCCCATAAACATTCAGGTGGAGCTGATGTAACTTCTTTCCCTAAACCCCGTTTAACTTCCCAGTCTTCACGATCTTATCAGTCCCTGCGCTTTTCATCCAACTGCCCCAACTGCCGCCTGGGTCAGGGCGTCACCTGGTCTGGGAACCACAGTCCACAAATTCTGCATCCCGGGTCCTGGAAGTTCTCTCTTCTCTCCTGATGATTTCCCCCTCTTCAAAGGCTTTGGGTCCCAGCGAAGGTCAGCCAAGGACCCTGATCCTTGCGTCAACCTCTTATTAACCTGACTGCTGCCCAGGGTTTCTCGGTGTCACCTCTGTGTCCGGCTTTTAAATTTCCCTGCACAGGGTGGATAGAACAGACTTGTTAGGGCCCTTTGAGACGGGAGCCTCACAGGGGTCCCGCTGTCCCAGCCTTTGGTAGTGAGGTACGGAAACGTTTCTTTTCACCCCTCGGCGTCTGTTTTGTTAATCGCGTTTCTTAATAACCACCTCAGGATTTCCATCCTCGGGCGCCTGCAGGGACTTTCCTTTCTGCCCCTTCCTTTGCTCCTGTCAGTATTTGCTTTGTTCACCTTATTTCTTAATAACCTTTAAGTTTCTCACCCTTTGGACTCTCCCTTGGGCCTTTCGCTTCCTGCTGTTGTTTTTGTCTTTTGTTTTTCTTTTTATAGCGTAGTGGAGGAAGTTTATTTAAGGATGAGGAGAGAACACTGTTAATTGACCTAATGTTTGATTAGCGTGTGCAGGACTCCTGAGGGGAAGTGGAGGCAGCGAGCTCAGTAAGGCTCCCAGGCTAGTTTCTATCTGGAAGGCTTGTCGTTATATTTCTTTGTACTCATTTAAAAAATAATTTGGTCTTTTAGAGGCACCAGTAAAACTGCTGTTAAGGTGAGAGCTCTCTAAACATTTTCCAATTTAGAAGTTTTTCCAGTTCAAAGGATCTGTGTTTCTCTGGCCAATGACAGTAGGATCCATTCATTTCAGTAGCAGTTCCAACCAATGAAGCCTTTTATTGGGAATACCTGGTGGTAGCTTCCCAGGCCCAGAATAAACCTTCACCGTGGTACAGACAGTGCAGCCCCATGACCCAAATTCACACCCCAAAGTAGAGATGGCACAGCCCTCATCACACAGGCAGTCAGGATGGTGGTGTGCACGTGGCGTCTCTGGTCTCCCACAGAATATGAGTCGCCTCCCTCCACAAACTGGCTAATCCATGGCCCCAGCAGGCACTACTGGAATGGGATTGTTCCAGCACCAACAGTAATGAAGGTGGAGACGGCAGAGGCCCCTCACCGGCTGGGATTTCTCATGACACACTCCCCTGAGAGCGGGCATGGCCAGAAAAAGACACTCGGAAGCCCAGTCGGTTCACCTGGCTGCCAGGTGCACCCATTAAGTGTACCTCCAAGAGAGTAGAGACCAGAGACGAAGCCAAGCTCCTGGGTCATAGAACGAGACGGAAGGAAAACCTTGTCCAGTTTTTAGTGAGAGACCCACAACAGCATTGGTCTCAGCAGAGCCGTCCTGAGAGAACTGCTGGACTCCTAGCTGTGAGGCCAGCTCCAGCTCCAGGCTCATTGGGAGTCTGTCCCTGCCATATTTCCTTCTTGTGACAAACGAAGCAAGTGACAAAAAATGACCGTTTCCAGGAGGAGTCAATGAAGAAAACCCATGAACCATCCGNTTGTTCACCTTATTTCTTAATAACCTTTAAGTTTCTCACCCTTTGGACTCTCCCTTGGGCCTTTCGCTTCCTGCTGTTGTTTTTGTCTTTTGTTTTTCTTTTTATAGCGTAGTGGAGGAAGTTTATTTAAGGATGAGGAGAGAACACTGTTAATTGACCTAATGTTTGATTAGCGTGTGCAGGACTCCTGAGGGGAAGTGGAGGCAGCGAGCTCAGTAAGGCTCCCAGGCTAGTTTCTATCTGGAAGGCTTGTCGTTATATTTCTTTGTACTCATTTAAAAAATAATTTGGTCTTTTAGAGGCACCAGTAAAACTGCTGTTAAGGTGAGAGCTCTCTAAACATTTTCCAATTTAGAAGTTTTTCCAGTTCAAAGGATCTGTGTTTCTCTGGCCAATGACAGTAGGATCCATTCATTTCAGTAGCAGTTCCAACCAATGAAGCCTTTTATTGGGAATACCTGGTGGTAGCTTCCCAGGCCCAGAATAAACCTTCACCGTGGTACAGACAGTGCAGCCCCATGACCCAAATTCACACCCCAAAGTAGAGATGGCACAGCCCTCATCACACAGGCAGTCAGGATGGTGGTGTGCACGTGGCGTCTCTGGTCTCCCACAGAATATGAGTCGCCTCCCTCCACAAACTGGCTAATCCATGGCCCCAGCAGGCACTACTGGAATGGGATTGTTCCAGCACCAACAGTAATGAAGGTGGAGACGGCAGAGGCCCCTCACCGGCTGGGATTTCTCATGACACACTCCCCTGAGAGCGGGCATGGCCAGAAAAAGACACTCGGAAGCCCAGTCGGTTCACCTGGCTGCCAGGTGCACCCATTAAGTGTACCTCCAAGAGAGTAGAGACCAGAGACGAAGCCAAGCTCCTGGGTCATAGAACGAGACGGAAGGAAAACCTTGTCCAGTTTTTAGTGAGAGACCCACAACAGCATTGGTCTCAGCAGAGCCGTCCTGAGAGAACTGCTGGACTCCTAGCTGTGAGGCCAGCTCCAGCTCCAGGCTCATTGGGAGTCTGTCCCTGCCATATTTCCTTCTTGTGACAAACGAAGCAAGTGACAAAAAATGACCGTTTCCAGGAGGAGTCAATGAAGAAAACCCATGAACCATCCGGTGTGGCTCAGTGGTTGAGCATTGACCTATGAACCAGGAGGTCAGGGTTCGATTCCCGATCAGGGCACATGCCCAGGTTGTGGGCTTGATCCCCAGTGGGGGGCGTGCAGGAGGCAGCCGTTCAATGACTCTCATCATTGATGTTTCTATCTCTCTCTCCCTCTGCCTTCCTCTCTCTAAAATCAATAAAAAATATTTTAAAAAAAGAAAGAAAAGAAAACCATGAGTCACCAAGCCCAAGGAGCCAGATTCACAAGTATTTTTCCTGCCAGTCTTTAACTTCTACTGCACCTGAGGAGACAAGGGACGCTGGAGACTCTCACCTCCTGCCTGCTTCCGTCACACGGCGCCAACCTCAGCTGTAGCAGCGCGCCTGCTAAGGGTGCTCCTGGCTGGCTCGCTAAACAGGGACGGGAAAGATGATTTTCCTCCCACCTAAGTTTTGGCTGGACTAATCAAGTTAACCTGAGACAGATTAGCAGGAGAAAACAACACATTCATGACAGATATACACAGATTCCATCAGAGTGTGAGGCCCACTAGGTGTCCTGAAATGGGAGGGAAGCAGGGTGTCAGGGTAGCGACTCAGGCACAGTACACAGACCCCGTGCAGGGCCTCCTCCTGCGGGCTTTGCTGCCCGGCAGCCAGCCCTTCCTGCTGCAAGTCACGTAGCTCTGCCCCCAAGTCCCAGCTTCCAGCCACCCTGCCCCACCAGGGTCGGGGGCTGTCACTGGGTGGGCATCCTGGGGGCCCCTCCCGCCTCCCACCTGGGAGAAGCCGGCGTGGACCTGCGCTGGCGCACACTGAGGGGCTGTTTGTTCTTTATTTGCAGAGGTATTGTGGCCAGTATTTTGGTTTTCTTATGTTTTGGAGTCACACAAGCTAAAGACGGGCCATTTTCCAGACCTCATCCAGGTAACTTGCCATTTCGTGTTGTGTGTGTCCCACGTGCTGGTTCTGTTCTGAGCGGTTGCTCTGTTGTGCTCCTGGGTGTGAGTGTCCTGCCCTCCCCTTCTGGACCCTGTCTGGCCAGCCACCCAGGCTGCTATCGTCTGAGGACGAGGGGTGTGTTCCTGCTCCTTCAGCCCCTGGAGCCCCTTCAGACCCTCTCAGGCTCCGCTCCTCATCCTGCCCGCAGCTGCCCTCGCCCTCCTGTCTCTGCCGTCTTCCTCAGGGGCTTCTTCCAGCAGATGAGATTCCCCCAGGACTGTCCAGTGGGGGTGGGGTGGGCTTCAGCGGGTGGCTGTGCCTTAGGTGCGAGGCGTCTGCTCTGCCATTGAGTCACTTTCTCTGTCCCCCACCCCCCGAAGTTATGGGGGTCCTGACAACCTCAGGACCCTGGCCTGCCCTGGCCCAGTGTGTTAGGGCTCCAGCTCCCAGGGGCAGGACGTGCTTGGTTTTCCTGAGGGTCACAACTTAGTAACACGTTTCTTTTCTGTCTCAGGAGGGGTGTGTACTTATTGTAGAAAATTTGGAAAGTAGAAAAATATTTTTAAGTAAAGATAAGCACCACTCACACAGAATGACCACTATTAGACTTCGATATGTTTACACAGGTCTGTCTACACATCCTGTACATGTGGAATTGGTGAGTGCCTCACTTCTTGCATTTTCCACTGCAGGCCCACACAGGCAGGTCCTTGTTCGTTTGGTTGACAACTGGAGTTTAATGGCTGCTTATTTAGCGTCATCTGATGTCCTCCAGTTAACCAGTCCGTGCGGTTGTGTTAGGGATTTCCAGTTTCAGCTGCAGTGAACTTTCACACGTGCCTATGTGCATGTCTCAGTTATCCATCTGATGAATCCTGCGGGGGGAGCCGTGGTTACTACCAGTGGCCCTCAGAAGGGTTGTGTCTGCGGCCCATTGGGCACCATGCTTGTCAGCGAGGTCCCGGTCTCTAAGCAACCCATGTGGCAGGGCACAGCCACACGGAGGACTGGGAGGGCTGCGGGGGTGAGGGGGCCCACTTGGAAATGCGGGGCCTCTCCCCCTGCTCAGGGTCTGCACCTCCCATCCTACTGAATAGTGTGGACTCCTCATCAGAGTAGAAAAGTGAGATAATGGTGTGAAAACCAAAATCACAGTGAAAACCAGGTGCAGTTAGTCTGTCAGATCGATTTGGAAGGCAGGGTAATACACAGATAGCCTGTGGTGTTCAGACTGGCCAGCGGGCAGCTGATTGTTCCAGCATTTGGCCCCTGGGCTCCAGGAGATGCACCTGACAGGAGGCTGGTTATCTTTGTCTGAAACCTGCCCCTGTGGTTTCTTTGAGCCATGAGAGCCTGAAGCCAGCTCCCTTCAGAGGGTAGCCGGTGGCCCTGGTCAGCCCTCCTTTCAGTCGAGTGGCTCCGTGCAGACTCCATGTGTCCTTGTGATCTGTGGTGGTTAACATGGGAACCTGTCTGGGAGCACCTGCTTCTGAAGGTCATATTGACCTAGTGGTTGGCAGGTGAATCTGACCAGCCCTGCACAGCAGGCCAAGAGGGACCAGCAGGAGGCTCCATAAAGGGGGTGCTGTGGGGTGTCTCTCCCTCCTTCTCCCCAGGCATCACTGAGAGGAGGCTCTGGGGGGGTTTCGCTTATTTGGAAACTTGCATTGCCCGTGAGAAAGGCATCCTTTCAATGTTTCTTTTCATTGGCTCCCTCCAAAAGCTAGAGCCAGTCAGGGTATTACCAGGGCTGTCGAGACAGCCAGATTTGATGTTTAGGAAGTAAGTAGGAGTGTGGAGGTAGGTACTGAATCCAGGAGCCAGGAGACCAACCTCCTGGTGGTGGAAGTGGGGGGGAGGGCCTGCTGAATGTTCAGGGGACGGGTGGGTGCCACAGGGTGACAGTGACAGAGGCTCTGAGATGGCCCACCCTCTGCTCCGGCGGGTGCAGGGCCTGCCCTATTGGAGGTGTACAGCAGTAGAGGGGAAGACGCACGTTCAGACTTGTCTGCGACCCGTGGGGAGTTCCTGCGGGCAGAGAAGCCCCATTTCCAAGGGACATGTCACCTGACCAGCAGCTCCTGGGGTGAGAGCGGCCCCGTGTCTTCACCATAAGCCCCTGTAGCTGCCATCGCAGCCGTTGGACCTGGGAGAGTGTTCCGAGCTTTTGCCACCCATGAGTGCATGGAGAGTATATCTATCACCTCCGCCGCTTATCCCCAATGTCCCAGGACTACCTCAGCAGACTTTCCGAGAGCTCCCCACTTTGTATTTCCTGCCTGCGCCCGGCTGGTTTTCCATATGGGGTGGGCAAAAGCAGGTTTACAGTTGTAGTACAAATAAGTGACACAGTGACTAATAAGTAGTGATTCAGGAGTAACTGGGTTCACGCACTCACAGCTGTACCCTCCTGTTGCCCACCCTGCACGTCCGTGGCTGTTCTCAGGCAGACACAGCGCAGGCCCCGAGGGGCTCGGTTGGCCCTGCAGACTTGTGGGGTCGCCACGCCTGGTGCTGCAGAACTCACACTCCCCGTCTGGCACGTCAGGCCCTGCCCCCCACCCCCCCAGCATTCACCCATCGGTCTGCCCGCGCCTGCATCCCCCATTCCAGCTGGGGGTGCACTGTACAATGGCCCGTGAGCAGGAGACTGCCCCAGAACAACCTGGGCCCAGCTGTGGCTCCCCTGGTCCAGAGCCTCTTAAAAGTTTGTCAGCACCACGTTTTTTACTCCAGGTGAATTGCTCTTAAAAGTAGGCTGGTGGTTTTTTACTGTCATGACAGGGAAGGTAGAATCTGGGCCTTTTATTAAACAGGGTCATCAAGACTCTTGGAAGGTAAAAGTTATTGTTTGTGAAAAGCTGAGCTTCCCATTGGAGAGTGTGAAAGGCAGGTGGTTCAGGGTGCACCACATGCAGACTCAACACACATACTGAAATGTTACATGAGAACATGCAAGATCTGCTCCCTTAGCAACTTGCAAGCATGACATAGTCACCACAGGGACAAGTTTCTAAGTGCACTGATCAAAACGGAAGACAGTTCCCTAAAACAGGTGTCACAGTGACCAGATTGGGTTCATCCCAGGAGCTCAGGGCTGGTTCAGCATGAGACAGGCATTGATGGTTCTCATCACTTAGCACTGCAGAGAAAAGCTTACGTGCAGAAAATAAAGCCACGTGCTCATTTGTGATGAAAACTGAGCATGCTAGAATTGAAAGGTTTTCTTGACGTGACAGAAGGTACCCACCGGGACCTGCCGACCCGGAGGTGTTGGGTTAGAAGCACTGCTGGTGAGCACAGGACCGTGTTCCTGTCTCTGCTTCTGTCCCTCTGCACTGCAGTGAGACAAAAAGAAAGACTTGAGGACTGGCATGGAAAGAAAGGAAGGAAAACCCTTTGGAGACACGTGTGCTCACTTCTGAGTCAGGCCTTGCTGTGGGAGTCCACCAGCCCGAGGGGCCGAGCAGACCGTGTGTCCTGGACTGCGGGCCGGCCCTGACGCTGTGCTCTCTCCTAGCCTACTGGAGGTTTTGGCTGTGCGTCAGCGTGGTCTACGAGCTGTTCCTCATCTTCATACTCTTCCAGGTGAGTCGCTCTTGGTTGGGTCAACTGGGAATGTAGGCGACGGAGGATGTGGGCGCAGGTAAGCGAGGGGCCATGAGCCCTTCCAGACCTGTCAGCTAGAGCCCAAGCCAAGGTGTGGAAAGTGGAGAAACTGCCCCGGTGAGCCTCTGCGGGAACCGGGAGTGCCTCCTGGACGGGACGCCCTCGAGGTGAGAAACTGCCCCGGTGAACCTCTGCGGGAACCCAGAGTGCCTCCTGGACGGGACACCCTCGAGGGCCAGTCCTGCACTGGCTCCCTGCTCCTCCGTTTCTTCAAATGGGAGTCCGGGTCTGCAGTCCAATTGGTTCAAAGAGCACCTCCTGATGGGCCACCTCACGTGTTTGGATTGATGGTTCCGCATCTGCCCTGATTGGTCAGCATAATGCATGTGAGGCATCGCTGTGCAGCTTGGTGGCTGGGCTGGTCTCAGCCTGTGGGTGGGAGACTGTACCAGGGGGCACCCAGGCCCGAGGCTGGTCTCAGCCTGTGGGTGGGAGCACGTACCAGGGTCTCCTCCATAAGGGTCTGCCCCCATGGGGCAGCCAGACCGGAGTCTGAGGCTCAGCCCAAGGCTTCTCCCTGAAGTGCAGCCTGCGGGGAGGCCTCCTTACGGCTGCTAGATTCTGGCCTGAATTCTGCCTGGTTAAGCGCAGGGAGTCCCTCTCGTGGAGGTTGCGAGGGAACCTCCAGAAGGATGTTTGTGGGGAAGCCAGAGCGGCCTTTCAGCAGAATCTGTGGAGCTCAGTGGCCCTGGACCTCTGGGTGCAGGTTGTGCTGCGTGGGCCCTGCCGTGCCGGACTGGGGTCAGGGCCAAGTGTATGGACCGGTTCCCATGCAGCACCTGGTGGCCGCCTTTGCTTTGAGTGGCAGGAGCTCCAGAGTTAGGGAGAGAAGCAGGCCAGACCCCAGGACTGGTCGCCGAGAGTTCCCGGAGGATCCAGGGCCAGCCCTCACTGGGGTTCCATTGTGGTGGTTGGCCAGCCTTGGCTCCCTGTGCTTTTCTCCCTCCTGGCTCCTGTTCTGTGGGCTGGTCAGGGAAGGCTGTGGGTGTTGGGTCAGGATCTGTTGCCACCAGTGTTGGTTGTTTATATCCCTCACTCTGGTTAACTTAATGAATACGTGTTGATGGAGATCCCTCATTTCAGGGTCCTTCCTGTTCAGTCTCAGAGCTCTGTCAGTGTGGCCGGGGACCTACGGTCACCAGATAATTTTTACTTTCTAGGGTAGGTGGCCGTCTACGGCCCCAGCCCTCAGCCCTGGCGATCAGGACAGCTCTCCCTCCATCGCCACACTTTGTGTTTGAGAATCTCCCTTGAGCAGGACTGTACAGTGTGTGGCCTCGGGGCCTGTGAAATGCATCCGACTGTGCCATCGGCACCCCATCCTTTCTCCCTGACGCGGATGCACCACAGTCTGTCCCTTGAGATGCTGAGACATTTGAGTGGTGTCTGTTTTGGGGCTGTGAGAACAGAACTGCTTTGAACACCCCAGCCTGGCCCCGAGGTGCGCTGGGCTGCGTCACATTGTCCCGCTGGGCATACCTGACATCAGGGCGCTGCCCGCTGTGTCCCGGGGGCTCCCAGTTTGTCTGCTAGCAGCGGCATGTCAGCTCCTGGGGTCTCATTCTGTCAGCCAGCTCTCTGACGGCAGACAAAGCCTCCGCCTGCTTGGACAGGAGCCACAGGGCCTTGTCCACGTCCTGATCTGTGTTTCTTGAATGGCTGGCCGGGCCGCCAACTTCACGTTCATTCATTAGCCGTGCAGACACCCCCTGGGTGAAGTGTTCATGTTTTTTGCCTTTTTTAAAAATTGGGTTTAAATTTTTTTTTGTATAGTTCTGGCCCAAGGTCCTTTGTTGGATGTGTGGTTTGTGAATACTTTCTCCACACCTATAGCTCATTCTTGGTGCTGAGCAGGACGTCCTTCCCAGGCCGGCTTGGACACAGACAGCGCAGGAGGCCGCCCGGGGCAGGCCCCTCCCTGAATGCCAATTGCGGAGAGGAGCTTGTGCAGAAATGGCTGCTGGGCTCTGCTTTGCTTTCCTTTAATTTTAGCCTCATTAGCAATCAGGAGCCCTTCTTACTAGGTCTCTTTTTTTCTCAGGGTTTACACCCCTGGTGTCCCTTTCTGTCCCAGGATCCCACAGAAGACTTCGTGGTTACGTCTCCTAGTGCCCCTCTGGGCTGTGACAGTTACCAGATGTCCCCTGTTTGGTCACCTGGACAGTTTTCAGGAGCACTGGCCGGGTTTGAGTCAGATGTCCTTCCAGTGGGATGTGGGAGGTGATTGCTCCTGTTTTTCAGGATGACTCTGACCAACCACGAGGTCTGAGGGCCACCTTTCCCAGTCCTGCAGCGGCAGGCGGGGTGCTGTGGGTCCCTGGGGTGCACACCTGGCAGGATCGTCTTCCCTTTGTTCGCACCCTTCATCGCCTCAGCAGCATTTGAAGTTCCCAGGGTGTGCGTGCACCTCTGAGTAGCCACACGTCCTGGTCTTCCCGCAGGTGGAACCGTCTTCTCAATTTTGTTCTCGGTTTGCTCATCACGGTTCTGTGGAAACAGCTTGTTTTCTGTGTGGGCTTCTGTCTTGCGACCTGCAGACCTTGTTTGTTCTGGCGGTTCTGCTGTTGCTGTTTGGGTGGGTTTCTGAGCGGCCTCTGGAGACTGGGTTGTGTCACCTGCTCAGAGAGGGTTCTGTATCTTCCTTGCCAACCTGGCGCCTATCTCCTGCCACATTGCCCCCGCCAGAACCTCCCGGTGAAGTCAGCCAGAGCTAGGAGGGTGGACGGCCCGCACAGCCCTGCATTAGGGAAAGAGCCTCCTGTCCGGCACCGTAGTATGTTGCCAGCTGTGGGGTTTTCATAGGTGCCCTCATCAGATGGAGGAAACCCCTTCTGTTCCTAGCTTGTTGAGTGTTTTTGTCACGAAAGGGTGTTGGATTTTGTCAAGTGAGGGGAGCATGTGGGTTTCCCCTTTGTCAGTGGATGTATTACATTCACTGTCTCGTTTTGAGTCAACTCAGCATTGCTGGGAGAATCCCCCTGCCCATGAACAGCCCTTACGTGCTGTGGGTAGTTTCCCAGGGTTGGGCTGAGGGCTCCTGCCTCCGTGTCAGAGTGTTGTCTTCAGGGTTCCTGTGCTGGATGTTTCTGGTTTGGTGTCAGGGTTACCTGGGATTTGTCTGGTGTTTTTCTCATGACTTGACGGGTAAAGGTGTGTATGGCCAGCATGACTTGTCACTGTCCACGCCACCTCCACCCTGCCCCTGCCCGATGTCAGGTTCCCTCCCTGGGCGCACTGGGGGGGTGGCCATCTGCATAGTGCCCCTGGACCAGAGTGCTCCTCTGCACAGGAGGCCTGCCTCTGTGCCGCAGTTACTGTTGCTCATCCTTGGTTCCTGTCCGTGCGCATTTGTACTTTGGGTTATAATCCAGCACTTTATTGATCTTGTTGCTCTAATTGCTTTGGCCATTGGGAGCTCGCTCATTTGGCTCCTGCACACCTCACATCCCCCCATCTTGTGGGTTCTTGGTATTTTACTGTTTTGTCTTGTATTTTTTTACCACTTCTTTTTTTCTGGTGCCAGAAGACATTCCAGGCCCATCCTGAGCATTTCCTGCCCAGTGGGAACCAGCCATTTCCCCCAGGAGCCCAGGTCCTTTACTGGAGGAAGGTCTCGGGGACCAAGCCCTGGGCACTGGTGGGCTCCTTGCCCTGGGGTGTTGGAGCTGCGAGGCCCCCTCAGTGGACGGCATGGCCGTGTCTGTGCACTGAGCGGTATCTGTACGTGTCTGTAAATACATACCATGGTCACTTTATGCCCTCCTCCCCTGCGCCTGCCTCTGGCCCCCTCCCCAGGCTGCGTCCCGTCCATAGGAGTGTGTCAGCAGGGGAGGCTGAGGGCCAGGACACCCACTGGCCTTTGCAGAGTGTCAAGGTCTGTCTTCCTCTGGTGGCATCAGTCCTCAGAGGTCCAGACAGACTTCTTACATTCATCCAGTTTTTCACATTTGAGGGCTGAGTATCCAATTATCTGCCGCCCTGCTGACTGGTCGCAGGCTCAGGACACGGCCCTTCTAACCTTCAGACCCTGTGGCTACCAGAGCACGTGGGTGACTTCAGCTGTCTATCAGTCACTGCCTGAGGGAGGTTCCCAAAGACCAAGCCAAGGACAGGGCCTCAGTCATGTGACTGACGCAGCTGAGTGTCACCTGCCCATGCAGCCTGGAGCCGCCTCTTCCTTTGTCCCTGGGCTGCTATTCAGGGCAGGGGTGTGGGGATGGGGTCCTGATGATGAGCTTGCGGGGACGTCTCCTCCTCCGCAGTCCCAGGGTGCTTGCTACGTGTCTGGGAGGAACTGCCCTGACACCGTGTGACATGGGAGGGGCCAGCGAGACCAGTGATCTGAGACCCCCAGTGCCGGGCCACCCTGTCCCTCCCATGGGAGGTGCACCTGTGACCCCTCTCAACATGGTCCTGTGGGGGTGCAGAGCATCACCTGGGACTTGGGCTTCCCCAGTCTGCTCAGCCCTGCAAGGGGGGACGGTGTGTTGGCCACACCATCATCTGCACGCCACAGGCCCATCTACGTGTACGGCTGGAGGTCAGTGATGGGTGGGCATGTGTCTGGCCCCACTAACGATGATGCTGACCTTGCAGACTGTCCAGGATGGCCGCCAGTTTCTGAAGTATGTTGACCCCAGGCTGGGGGTCCCGCTGCCAGAGAGGGACTACGGGGGGAACTGCCTCATCTATGACCCAGACAACGAGACGGACCCCTTCCACAACGTCTGGGTGAGGGCCGGCCCAGGACTTGGGGGGGCCAGGATGAAGTGTGGGGTACTCCCCAGGCTGCCCTGTGCTGGATATTTCCAGAACCCACGTCACCGAATGGTGGCACAGACTCCATTGGCGGGGTACCCTGTTGTCCTCGACGTTAGGGTGTGTCGTCCACACACCGCAACACATGTGCGTGAGACCCCGATTGTCTCTGGGGTCTGGCAGGTGCTGTTCAGAGGGGCCTTGGGGGTGGGTGGGAGGCGACCCCAGTCATGTGCACAGGGGAGTGAGGGGCTGCTGGGGAGGGAGGGCTGTGGGGCTGCTCAGGGTAGGGCGTGTATGAGGCCTGTGTCCCATCACCCACAGGACAAGCTTGATGGCTTCGTGCCTGCGCACTTTATTGGCTGGTACCTGAAGGTAAGGCGAGCTCATTATTGGCTGGATGTCCTGAACACCACCCGCCCTGTGGGCCACGGGCTGATGTTCAGAGTGATGAGCAACAGCCTGGGGGCCACAGCACAGGACCAGCAAGCTGTGGGGAGGGTGCGCCAGCTGTAGGGAGGGTTTGTAAAACCACCTGTAAGCTCTGGGTGTGACGCCCACGTGAGCTTGTCCTTGGCATATGGCCAGTGAGAACAGTGGAGAAAGGCGCTCCGACCTACCTGCCCTCCTGTGTGAGCGTGTGGCCCTGACCTGGCCCACCCCCAGGCTCTGGACACATGGAGGCAGTGGGTGTGCCTGTTGTCCTTGGCCTGCAGACCCTGATGATCCGAGACTGGTGGACGTGCACGATCGTGAGCGTGATGTTCGAGTTCCTGGAGTACAGTCTGGAGCACCAGCTGCCCAACTTCAGCGAGTGCTGGTGGGACCACGTAGGTGCCGGGGTGGGGGTAGGG